TTCAGGATTCATACCACTCATCAATCAACTCATCACCAAGTATAAGACTAGGATGTCGCCTTTCCTGAGTCAAGTATTCACGCCAATTGTAGAGAGGATCATATCCTGTATTAACAGACCAATGGAGCCTGATGATAATGAAGTACAGTACAATAGAAAGGCTATACTGTTTAGTGTGTGTTAATTATTATTTACTTTCAGGAGTACAGGGATAAGTTAAACCTTCACAAGTCCTATTATCTTTTTATTAATTCAATCTGCATCAATGGAGTCACTGAAGTGATTGCCTCTCAAAGTGAATGCTTCACCTCATTATTATTATTATTATTATTATTATTATTATTATTTAATATTATTTAAGTTATTATTTTATTATTATTTCTTATAGATATGGAGCAAGTTAATAGTGTCCTTGGTTCTATAGTGGAAGGAGCTTCAACCTCACCCGACTCATCAGTAAGAACACTTCCAGTCCTTTTGTATTGGCTTCTAATGCTTTCTGTCTTCCTCACTAAAGGTTAAGAGGATCTGCTTTATGAGTTTAAAGAAGCTAGTGGAAGGCTGGAGTATGTCTTTTATTTAATTATTATTAAAAATTTATTTATTTTTATTTTTTGTTTTTTTATTATTAATTTTTGACTTATTAAAAATATAATGTACAAGTAGGTGGTCAGAATGTTTTATTGGATTATCCTTCAACCAGTGGATTCATTGATTACGTGTATAAAGAGATACTACCAATCTGCTTCGTTGTACCTCTTCAACCAACCTTTGATCTAAATGAAGGACAAGCTTATTTAGTAAGAAAATAAAGAGAATAAATAAATAATAATAAATGAAATAATTTTTATTGTTGCAGTGTTTGGGTGAGATTGTATCATTGTTGAAGGAGCTAGTCACACAGAGGGTAAGGTGCTGTTAGTGTTTTGTTGTTATTGGATGGGCATTAATTAGGGTGAGGAATTTCTTCTGTATCTCCAGTCACAATATCTTCCGTCTCTCATGATACCAACTGACATTGGACAGGTACTGATAATTGATAGTTAGACGTACATTTACATGTTTTTTTATGTACCATAATGCCTCCAATATTTCTTGATACATTCTTAAGCTATGGAGAAAGTTTAAGCTGATTCCTAAAAAGTTTTAAAGCTAGCAGATTCATGCCAGTTAAAAATTACATTTTGTGATACATATTGATGTCCTTATACTGTGTAGAAAGTTTGAGCTAATTTCGACTTAATTTTTCAAGTTACGGCCATTTTAAGGAAACACTGAAATTCTGAAAAATACCCAAGGCTATACCCCATGGTATTTTCCAAAAAATGGCTTTAAAATGAACCCCAATTTTTATTACATTTTCTGATACATATATATGTCCTTATGCTGTGTAGAAAGTTTGAGCTGATTCCGACTTCAATTATTCAAGTTATGGCCATTTTAAGAAAAGTACCAAAATCTAAAAAGTACCCAAGACTATAGCCCATGGTTTTTTCCAAAAAATGGCTCCGAAATCACCCCAAATTTTTATTACATTTGTTGATACATATTGATGCCCTTATGCTGTGTAGAAAGTTTGAGCTGATTCTAACTAAGAGTTTTTGAGTTATGGGCATGCCATTTCTAAAAAGTTTCATCACATTTTCATACCTCTGATACATGCTCTTCATGCCTTAAAGTTAACAGCACAATTTTCAAGGAAGAGCACTAACTGTACTGTTGTGTTTATGCTTTGCAGGAAATGTCAGTGAGACTTCAGGAGAATGACATGAAGTCATTAAAGATTTATTTTAAAGTGAGAGAGTATTTATTATCATCCATTATTTAGAGCTGGGCGATAGTTTCGAATATATTCACTATCGTAATAGTATAGAGGCTATTGTGATATGATAGTAGTATTGAAGCTATCGTGATAGTAAACCACATGTTGACATATAGGCATGCTCAGTACTACAACCACATGTAGCAGGATAGCAGCTGATATCTAGACATAGCATCTGAAGGGATGGACCTTCTTCCTCTAGAAGGAAGCAAAAGCGACATTTGGAAGCATCTTGGCTTTCCAGCAAGAGATGGGAAGTTCCTACAGCCTGTATATACATGTACTACTTCCTTTTGACT